GGTTTACAAACTTCGTTCGGGGCCGACTCGCTGCTTCCTCGGCTCTGTAATTGTCCTCTGGTGGGAGGCCCGTGCGAGCCCGCGCGACTGTGAATATCTCTTCCCGTGCTCGAGGTGATGCCGGGTTTCAAGGGGTAGGTGCATTCACGAAGGCCTCGGCGTACAGCTCGTGTTTCCCTACACCACGCCACCCTAAGCTTCACCTCTTTTCTCTATTCACCGAGTCTGCCGTAATATTTCGGTCATTGGATAGTAACCCACACGACTATTTTCCATTTATGATCCGGTGATCTGTTTCGGCGGGACCTAACGAATTGTCAATGTAAGTAACAAGCTAAGCCTTCCTGAATTGGGTCCCGATTTGCTATGACAAAATCCAATAATTCAACTACTATCAATCCGCCGGCAGGATATCTCGTGTAAGACTTCCCTGTTCCAGTGCTATAGTTATAGCAGATGCTGGTCCTGGGGCGATCAAGGTCCTTCCCTTCCCACCTTTGCATACGTCGTCTCTCACGACGAAGATGTTTTCACTCTGTCCGCGTGAAAGCTGGGTTCGACTCCCAGCCAGGGAGTTGGTCAGAGTTGAGTGTATCGAGGTGTCGGAGTGATGAAGGTTCGACAGGGATGGAGAGTAGAGAGCACCTCAACGAGAGGCCCAGATCGGTTCCTGTTGATGGAGAAAACGGAGATTAAGAGTAAGATATGATGGAATCGGCGGCACTTGAACAAAAACGTACGCTTTGAACGAGGGTCATCTCCGTAGACCAGGCTTTAAAGGGATAACTGTGGCGTATAAGCCACGATGTTGGATCAAAGTAACGTTTGTTTCCGGGTGTTCCGAGGGCCAACGCAATTCTCAACGCCAGCGGGAAAAAGAGCAGTAGAATAATAGCGACGAGGTTGTATCCTCGAAAGGGAAGGGTCAGGTCTCCTCGAGCAGCTATCAGCGGCGAGAAGGCGTGCAGAGTCCTCAAAACGCCCACCATTCATGATCAAACAAAAACTCGTGTCCACATCCAACTACTCGAGTCCGAAATCCCAACTGACCCTTCCCCAAAATCAAAAGGTCCAAATCTGGTTTGTATTTCCCTTCGTACACTCCCAGTCTGCGATCCCATTACTCGATCAAGGACTCCACCAGCGAGATCCAGACACTGATTGTTTGGGCTCTTGGCGGTTCTAAACCTGTTGCCTTCAACAATCCATCCAGTGACGGGGTGTCGCCTGTGTTTGATCCGCAACCGGCTACCCGAAGGCCGGCACCGTTGTACGCTAGGGCGAGTTTGTTGGCAGAAAGGACTAGGAGAAAACAAAGGGACGTACATCCGAATGGTTGATCACCGTGCCCGAAGATCGTATGCCAGCTCTTGAGACACAAGTTTGGTGCACCGACCGATTGAACCTCGGTCTCGCCTTCGGTGAAGTTCCAGAGAGTGAAATTAGACTCGGCGCACGGGTAGCTAGATGATGGTTTGGGCTAAGTGAGCAGGTCATTGGTATGGGTGAGTGACACTCACATCACGGCGTTGGTGTCGGTAGGAGGAGTCGGTGCACCACCGTCGTAAGGGACGATGCACCAATCGGTGTTGCCATTCTGAAAGGGGGTAAGAGTTCAATCCAAGTCACGTCACTAATCAACTGAGAGAACATACAGGGTGAAGAGGACGTCCTCCAGCCTGACGAGCGCCAACAGTCACGGTCATAGCTGAGGCAGTGGTTGCGGTGGCGCAAGACACAGCAAGGGCGACGAGGGAAAAGTGCATCTCAGTTGACGAGAGAAATCGAGGTTGGGAGCGATTGACTCTGGCTCTCCTTCTACCCTTTTATACATTGAAAGCTGGTTTGTTGAGATTATGTGTGACGGTCTTAAATCACCGGTGTGGCAGGGTCGGTAGGAACCGCGCGGGTTTGTCGGGGTGGGTAGAGGCATGAAACTTCCCATCATGCCGTGTATGAATTACTGAACCATGTCGAGATGATTGTAGTACCCGAGTGGAGGGTCAGAAAAGTCAAAAAGGTACCTCGGGGTACTTATACGGTTTATTAATAGTATCCGATGACCAAACGAATTGGAAAGGTTGTCAATATGAAGGGCCCAATTTAAATATTTGACATACATGGTAAAGCTGATCTGGTTGTAGCTAAGTAGTATTCTACGCTGTGCATAACATCTTCAGTACCCGAGATAAATAAATAGCAAATTTATTTAGATCAACAAACCCACTTCCCCACCCAACTATAGTACACTCGAGTCTCAACCGACCATTTTCCCGCAATCAAGAAGTCTAAAACTGATTCGAATTCCCCTCCGTACATCTAGATGGTTACGGTGTAAAGGATCCAAACAGCTATCAAGTCATTCCCGCTTCTGTTTAACCGTTGGTAGTTGGTATTTCAAGATTGGGTAAGCGGATGAGCGGACCACTGGAGCTTCAAATCTGGAGAATGAGTCCGACTATGCTAGCAGAAAAAGCAAGAATTCGTCTTTTCAAAACTACGATGTCCACCCATCAAACAATAAAATATCCTCGGAAGGGATAGCACGGCGTACCAAAACAGTAAATCTGCAGCGCGTACTGTATTTGAAAAACTGAATTGGCCGTCTGAGTGCGCACCTTCCCGGTTCAGGAGAGGTTAATCTCTGCTGCATAACCTGAACAAGTCGCAAATCTCAAAAACTCGGTGATGTGTGCTCTTGGAAAAATGAAAAATCGTAAGTTTGAGATTGAACATGTTGCTGCTCACCTGTCCAATGACAACTCCCTGGTAGTATATCGGTTAGTACACGCGCCTGTCATCTTTCAAGTGTGATGTTTGTGCTCGCGCGAAAGCTGGGTTCGACTCCCAGCCAGGGAGGTCCAGTGATACATCGGTAGTGCTTTTTTTTTTGTCCGTGGAGTCGTAGACGTAATGGTTTGGAATATATCCTCCAGACAGAGACTGTCCTTCTTCGTCACCGATTGGAAATCAACGACCAGTTGCCTCACGGTCAGATTGTGGTCGGGTAGACAAGACACACGTGCATAACAAGCGTTGTGAGTACCGTGCGCTTTGGGGAACCCAAGAACGCAAATGCCGGATGGTTAAGAAGTCGAAGCCCAGGCTAACGTTCCATTGGACCCGAATTGTCAGAAGTCGACCTCTCCGAGAAGTCGACCTCTCCGATAGGTCGAGCCCTCAGCCATTCTATCAATGTGGAGCAGTGTAAGTACTACCAGGCACGGAGCCAGTTACTTGTGATTGGGAACTCATTTCCCGTAATATTTCTGAGTGTGCTTCTGTCACAAACGCAGGAAACGTTGATCATAGAAACGGAATATGTTCAAGGTCATCACTACACAGCGAAACCCGAACAACCTTTGGTAACATCCGATGTGGTGTAGTGGCTAACATTGCTGTCTTTCATGGGTAGAATCACGCATATGTCTCACAGCAGCCCGGGGTTCGATTCCCCGCATCGGAAGTGGGGTGTCCTTTAGCAGTAATTTCTATTTTTCCATGATGATATAACCCAAATATGTAGCTCCGAGGGAGCTACCGTTCGTCGCCGACTCCTCTCCCACGGTGTATCGTATCATCTCCCTCTACTGACGTGATTAAAAGTAATCTCCCATGAATTTCATGGAATAGGAAAGAGTTCTTGCTACGTATTAGGTGGTTGATAGATAGGTAGCGTTCCGTATGCAGCCTGCATTTCACTCGTTTCCCTCACAAACTCTCGCGCCAAACCTGCTTTGGAGTCGAGATAACAAAACCTCCATGATGCTTAGAGGCATAATAGAGAAGCTCAGTACCGCGATCTCATACAGGGGTAGGGAGCAAGGGGACTCACGTTGATTCATGACTCTGGCCGTCTCCCAGGTTCGCAGATGTGCCGGCCGTAACTCGTAGCAGTACCACGATGCCAACGTTAGATTATAGGCACCAGTTTCGTACTAGGCACCCTGCTCGGGAAGTGCTCGGTGGAGAATTGATGATGAAGAGTTCCTCGTAGCGGTACGACGACGATGATGAGTGCAATATTGACAGCCCCGAGACAGAGGATTGAACTTGAGGGCGAGGAAAGCCCCACGAGCAACGATTGAGGGGACCCAGATCTTCTAGGTAGAACTAGGTGCTGGTGTGGTTAAAAAGCGAGGCTGACTGCCGTAGTATAATAGATAAAGTGGATCTGTGAAGAAAACATGTGGTCAGACTTGCTGTGAGAACGTGATGTAGAGATAGAACGTACGTTCGGTGCCTGGTTGTCACGCTAACATTCTTCTTTCACCGTGGCAAAAGCAAACTGGCAAACTGTGGAGGGAACCTAAATACTGAGTACTGAGTGGTCAAATGGGCCACTCGTATTGTCGGCCTGAGACCAAGGGTGCGGACGACTCCCTTTCACCGTTTTCAAGAATCGACGCGGGCGTTCAATAGCAGTGGAGACTTCTTGACTGTCGCTCTCTCTGAGTATCCGGTCTGTCGATGGACTCTACTCAACGCCATCAGTGTAGGATCCTCTATACAAAGAGACGAGAGCTCGCACCTAAGCTGCATCGACCAGCACCCCTCAGGTAACGTTTATCGTGACTACCAATGGTATCGGTAAATGTCCTTCCTCTGACTTGTGACGCGTCTCGTTAGAACGAGGAGCTCGTTCACGTAGGATACTGCGGACAAGTGTCGTTTGAGATTTACCAGAGCCGTTGATCAGAGAGGGGAAAACGATGATGGGAAGATAAGAGTGGGAGAGTGAGTGTTTAGGTGGAAGCGAAGAATGCGGGGCGGGCGGCAATCACCGAACGCACGGACCGACTTCAGGGGAGGTCGTTTTCTTGCCTCGGATGCGCTTGACACTCGACGAGGATCCCGTTGTAAGATCTCGCCAGCACTAACCAAGCTTTTGTATGCCTCTAATCACAACAGTCCGGAGGGAGAGGGGGAGAAGGTGTAGTTCACCTTTACTTTAATGCTAAATTACCAGTGCTGTAGCTTCGATGGTCCCGGTAGCTATATCCCTGGTAGTATATCGGTTAGTACACGCGCCTGTCATGGATAATGGCTGGGAGTGCGCGCGAAAGCTGGGTTTGACTCCCAGCCGGGGAGCTGATAGATGGATGACTGGAAATTTTTTCTGCTATACCGAGATAAATAAAGCTCACAATCTTAAACGTCTTGTTCACTCCGATCCGATGTATTCTGGTCTAATCGGGAGGACGCGATTCATGTTATTTGTTTATTGGAGGCTTAGTAATATAGCTCGGCATGCAGAAAAGACGCGTGCGACGGTACTCGGTATTTCTGGTCACCACTGCTCGTTCAAAGGCCAGCTAGCAATGGCTTGCTACATCATGAGCACACAGTATGTAGAGAAGGGAAATGAGAAGGGAGATCAAGTGTCTCATTTTGAGGTCGTCAAGAATCATAGCTACGATTCATGAATGGACCTGCCATCCGCGGCCCAGGCGACTGGCGGCCATGGAGACCTTCGGGCTTGTTAGGGGCAAACTCGCGAGAGGTTCGAAGGTAGGTTGACTTATATCGTGATAGCCGGCGTGTTGAGCGGGACCTGATGAAATCTCTGAATGTCCTCATTACTTCTGCCACGAGGCCGACACTGTCAACTGAAGACTGTGATTGGTAGACTATGCTGCTTTACAGGTTTGGTATAACTTCCCTGAGAGCCGAATTATGAACGGTTTGAACCAGAATTTACGGGACCCCCATTCAACTCCTTGCCTCAGCTAGTGATCTCCGTCAAAGCGATCATAAAATGGAGCCACTCAGAAACAGTTGGTGGTAGATAAGAAATGTTGGTCTCAAGTCGCCTGCATCCGGATACGGGACATACTATGACCCATCATTTCAAATCCAATGTCGTGTAGTGGCTGACATTGCTGTCTTTCATGCCGAAACTTGCGCAGCAGCCCGGGCTTCGATCCTCCGCATCGGAACTCACGCGCGGGATGTGTCTAGGTTTTTCTTGTATTGTCACTGCCCTTGGTGTCTGGTTAAGCACTCGAGTGATTTACCACCACCGCCCTTATTTTCCTGTGAATGATAGATCCTTTGTTCAGCCCGGGGAGGGCCAACGATGATCACGGTTACCCTCTGTATGTGATGGATGTGTCCCGACTCTCGCGCGCGGGACGGATGTGATGGAATGATATTCAGGATAGGCCTTTAGTGGTGTATAAATAGACTCGATAAGCCTCAAATAGTAGTTGGCTGGCCTCTCGAACGCACTATGATCTTTCTGTGTGAAGTCTACTACCCGCTGGTAAGGGCAATCGGCTAGCTAGAGATTGAGCCTGTGAGGTTGATCATTTGGGGGACTTGCTGTCTTTATTTTGGTCGTTGTCTCGGGTACCTGACTCCAACTCGAGGGTAGTATTCCCAGCCCAAAGTGCACAATAGATCCTTTTCATCTCCGTGAACAAAAATCCGACGGGTTCGTTAATGAAGAGCACCTGACGCCTTGTTCCGGTTAATTCGGTGTCAGACGCGTCAGTGGGATCCGTCTCCACAGCCTTTGCTACACCATTGACAGGGTGTGAGACGAGGCACCAAGAGTCAAGGTCAACTGTGGGTAAACATGATCGGACAGCACATCAAAAGGACAGGGATCTAGCCAAAAATCTGAGATGGGACAGCTTGAAGCGGCAATAATGGTCCTGTTCTCTAGCTTCAAACAGGGGCAACCAATGGGTCGCGTCAAGTACGCTTTTGCTGTCTTGTGGGATGTTTATTGAAGTAGGACGCAATTTCACGAGGGAGGGTTAAGAATAAGTATCCAATGTCCGGTTATCACCGGTCGAAGCCAGAAGTCGCAGTTTGACTTCTCCACTGATACAACCACCTGCACGCTGCATCGAATTGCATTGGCATACACGTTTTTGCTCGAAAAAATCTGTAAGCTCGTAGAACTTTAATACGCACCAAGCGTGATTACACTGTAACGACTGTAACGTTGTAGCATAAACGGAGTGCGTCATTTCCATTTTCACTACTGGTAAATATAGTCCTTTGAGTGTTCGTACCGCGACTCAGTCTGAGTTTCGTGGAGTTCGACAGATGCCATCAAAATCATAGTGATGCGAATGCGACTATCAGTACTTCGCTTCCTGAACTCGATACTTGCCGTTCTCCCACCAAGACACCGACGCCCTTTTTTCCGAGAAAACTCGTGGCCATAGTTCAAATAGCAACCCACCACGTTGTATGGATCTTGTAACGTTTGACAACCGTCATTGTGTTTATTATGACATTGGGTACAGTGGGTTGATAGAACCTATCACAGCGTTAGTCATGTACTGTACGCGTATGCAGGACGACCCCACCGTTATCGGTTACGTTGCCTTCCTACATACTCGTACAGTATTATATAAGGGCTTATACTTTGCCTCCTTACATCGAGGTTTCGTTCCTTTGTCTCGTATTCATCAACGACGCCAGGTGCCGTTACCTAGCACTGATTGCTCCTTCTCCATTATGGCTCTCTTGAAAGATCGGCTGGAGCCATGGTTCGCCACTGAAGTTATGATTATACAGCCAATTGCGTCCTTAACGGCGAGTATTTCAAACGTACGCTCAAGTGCACAACTCCTAATGGGATCTTATAGGTAACTTGGTTTGTCCACGGTACGTTGCTACATTTGTATTCGACGCACTTTACACATCGTTCAGTGACTTTCTTGAACCCAGGGTTCTACATCGCGCTATTCTTTGCCGCCCTCAAGAATCTGTGCAAATATCGACGAGAAAATCAGGCACTCTACATTACCTGGACCGCTCTTTTGTTTCTGTTGTGCACCCTCGACAACATCGTGGAGACATGGTACCGGGTCAGGCAAGCTATAAAGATCTATACTGAGGAGCATACAAAGGAATATGCGCTGCTGCAGATGTACGCACGGCATGATTTAGTCAAGACCGTTCAGAGGTAGTCCGTTAATATTATTGCTCCCGCCGGCTACACCCTGATAACTCTGTATCGTTCCAGAGGTTTGTTAATGATACTGCCAATCCTGGCGAAGTAAGCAAGATGTCTTTTTATGCCCCCGACATTCTGGTCATTGATCGTCTCCAATCACAAGCCTTGTGGCCGAATCAATGCTGGCATGCGTCTTCTTCTAGCCACACCAAAACTTCATATAACATTCCAATTCTAGATTCACCGATGCTACCTCGTGTGGTCTGGGAATAAATCGGTCGGGATAAGTCTTGTGGTGGTATCTGTTCTTTTGAACGGTGAGTCAAGACATCTTGTATGGTACAGTGCACAGTGCTACCCGGTCACTCGCAGCGGTCGGACTCTCGGGCTGCGTCATGTTCACAATGGGATTCCGTGATACACGATACGAGGAAAACGTCAGGTTTCTCCTCAAGGGAAATAGCATCAACAACGGATATTTGATTGCGAACGGGATCTTCAATACCCTTTTAACCGCGTTGACCGGTAAGCCATCCTTCAATCAATCTTCAACAATCACGCGCGAGCGCCACTGACATGGGCTTCATTTTTACTGCAGCTAGTCGAATCTATATGATCACCCGCGAGGCTGAGAGATTACTCCAATATCGTACCCATCGAACTCACAAGACGGTTGTGGCGGTCATGTACGTCTTCAGTTTCCAATATTCCGCTCTACTACCGTCCAACATGACACTATAGAGTTGAATCGGGACTGATATATCCCGCGTCACTCATCGTTTACCTCGTCATTCTCTTGCGTCTCGACCCGAACAATCAGAGCCTACTCCCTGTCGACCTGAGCCCTGTGTTTATGCAAGCTGCTGTACGTACTCTGAACCCATCCTGACTTCCGAACATAACTGTTTATTCTGCCTTTCCATGCTGTAGGGAGTCGCACCAACACTCATCATCGTCCGTGCTGTGCAAGAAAAGACGACAGACAGTGTCGAACAAGTTGTCTCCGCGAACAACCGAGACTTGTTGGAGACGACCCACGCATAAGATATAGCCAAACTGCTGACTGGTGACCTGAGGATCTACCGGTAACATGAGGGGGCAAGTCTGTCATCCTGAGGTGAAAAGCTGGTGAAAAGCTATGTTAGAGTGTCGGTATCGGAAGAACCATCTTATCGTGCTAACATTGCTTGATACATAACTGAAGACGTATTTCGACGCTTTGGTTTCCCATACACGTAATTCAAGCAGAACTCGCAATCAAAGAATGGCGCAAGGCACGAGGATCCAAATGACCGAACCTTGGCGGAATATACCTTCCTTTCCTGACCTCATTTCGTAATTGCCATAAAACGGGATCTTCAGGAGCTAAACTCCTCTATACAGCTCTCTTCTGATATAGCTTTAGAGAGGGCACCTCGTACAAAGACCCGGTATGAGCGCCCATTGTGGGTTGCAATGTATTGTTGTTTATCGCTTCTGCATTGCGGTCGTATATTGTATTCGGGAAAATGTTAGATGCGAGAATCATTCGGACATATGTGTTCTTGGATCCTACGGAGAAGTATAATACTTCGACTCCGCCGAGCTGGTAGCTACTTTCGAATATTGTTGTCCACAGCCTATGGGAAGGTTCACAAACTTGTTCGGGGCCGATTCGCTACCTCCTCGTTGTCCTCTGAATATCCCTTCCCGTGCTCGAGATAATACCCGGTTCCAAGGGGCAGGAACATTCACGAGGGGCTCGGCGTACAGCTTGTATTTATCTTACACCACGCCAGACTAAGCTTTTAGTTTTTTCCCTATCCACCGAGTCTGCCGTGGTCTTTGGATTACTGAATAGTAGCCATCGCCACTATTTGCCATTTATGATCTGATGGTCCGTCCCAGCGGGACCTAACCAAGGGGGTGGCAATTCTTTAATTTTCGTACGAGGTCGAATTTTTTTTTAAGCCGTTGTCGGACACCCCCCACCCCCCTCCCCTACCATATATGGTAAGTTCAAGTGCCTCACGTGCGAGATAACTATCATTTTCGCTTACCACCATCCTTCTCGGACATATCGGACCTTGGAGGCTCCTGGTGAGCTTTCCCATCACTGTTTTTGGTTTTGCTGTGGCATACAACGACCAACTGACTACAATACATGTAGATAACGACTAGCACAAGGACCTCT